GTAGACTTTTGAAGATGGGTATGATTATCGACTGGATCCATTTGTTGGGACAGATGGCTCCGTTCGTTTTGCACCGTGTTTTGCCAGCAGCAACTGCGCGTCACCCGGCGCTGACACCCTCAGACAGCTCGAAATCAGTCTTCAAGCCTCGACGCCCAGTCTGTCTGGCTGCTCGCACAGTGAAGAAAACAAATCAACAAGCTGCTCTTGCTCACACTGGGCTCGCTTGACATTGATGAGTGCTGTGTATCAGAAACAAGAGTTCAAGATGCAAGCACAGTGGTTGAGCTAACTGCCCTATTACTCTCCACTCGTTTCTAGTTGTGTATGTCCGGCAATCCATAGGCCGCTACGGCAGGATATGCAGGGATTGGTAACGTCCTAAGTCACTGAGCGAAAAGACCCTTGTTTGGATGTTGGTCCATTCACCGAACTTGGCAATCCGACTGCCAAACTCGGCGGACAAACCAACCCAAGAAGCGCACCGAGCTGCCTACATTCCGCAACATTGCCAGATCCTTGCTTGACTAGATACCCGATGATAGTCGCCTCTGCGCGGTACGTCTGGTGATGTGCGTGAAGGAGTCTCACAAGCGGGAAGTTGATTGCTGTCTATATGTGATGTCTGCTTACGCTTCGATCGATTGCAGTTCTGATACCATTGAAGGCAAGTTTTATGACGCCTTGAATGCTATGTTACACCGAGTTAAAAGCCCAGATATCGTTGTGGTCGTCAGAGACCTGAGTCCACAAGGCTTAGCGCACCTGAGACTCAATTAGGTGGTCGACACGTATAGGATTGGGTAGGTGCGGAAAATGGCGAACGACTGCTTCAGTTATGTGCTGACCGCAGACTGTTTTATGTAACACTAAGTTCTGAAATGGCCGACGGCTCAGATCAACAACTGACTGCCGCTCGTTTTGGAGCACATTAGTGGATTCCGACCGCGCGCTCTTTCGGGGTCGCTTCTCCCTTCATTTTCCAGGGCGACGTAAGACGCACCAAAATCGCTTAGCAACTGAGAAACTGGCAAATTCGTACGTTGGACGAATTTACTGGGGTCGTCTTCTGGAATCTCTTCCAAATGCTCCACCACAGATGAAAAAGAGGTCATCACCTCTTTGCACAGTGCCGAAACATTAACCTGCGGTACGGCACTATCAGGCCCAGGCACGCAGTGAATATCAGACTGAACAACAGCACTGCTTGAATCCCGGAGAAATGTCCCACTAGTCTCGAACATAATTTGGCCCGACGAATTATCAGAAGTCAAGTGAAAGTGAGAGTACGTGTCGACCGTGTTTGATGGACCGGTGGGAATGGAAGAGACCCAGAAAGCCAGCAGTGCCCGAAGATTATTTCAGTTGGTCCGCGCGACCAGGCCCCGGGAACCACAAGTGAGCGAAACCAACCATCCAACTGCTGGGACAAATAATTTCGTGACCACCCGTTGCCACTCATCTGGAACCTGCAGCTTAAGCAGAGCTCCTAACGGTTAACCTGGAACCCTCACAGGCCTCGAGAGTCTATGACTGCATATGTTCTCCCAAGCACCACCGAGTTCGGATGACCTCTGATTACACTGCTCAGGGATGGAGGACAAAGTCCTGAGTTACCACTAGTCTATTCTGTTTTCCTGCATTTTAGAAGAGGAGACTGCCATACAATTGGGTAGAATCAGTTGTAGTGCCCCTTAAAAAACAAGCTCGTAATGAGTGTGATAATCACAGGGGTATCAGCTTGACCCTGATCGTAGCAAGACTGTTGACGTCGCTTCCCCTTCGTCACCTGATGGTGGCTCGTAAAACACACTCTAGAACTGAAAGCGAGATTCCGCCCTGGTAGGGACAGCGGTGACCAAATCTCCACACTTCGTCAGGTGCTAGAACAACGCCATACGTATAAACAGCCCACAATTTTACTACTTCAGGACTTCCCAGGCGCATTCGACTCAACTGACCGGTTTGTTCTCTTTAACACGATAGTCCATCAGGCAACGCCCTAGAAGTTTGTGAACACAATACATTCTTTTAACTCTCAGGATTTTAGGCGTGCGAAAATACGCACAGAGCCCTTCGAAAGCTTTTGTTCAGAAATTGGTGTCCGTCGGGAGTGCTCACGCTCTCCATTACTGTTCAATTTAATGATGGACGAGATGGTAAGACGAGCTCTGGTTTCAAGTAGACCATAAGGTTGACGGAAACTCGGGGACTGCGCCTACCTGATGAGCCCCAGGAAGGGCGAAACAGGTCGTGGGCTGTCGAAGAATTTTCAGCAACCTTATGAGTAGTGCAATACGAATAAACTCTGGAAGCTCTTTAAAACCCTGGTGTTCGAATAGCTGCTGACGAAAACCTTGTCCATCTGAAATATGAAGATGACATCGTTCTCGCCTTAAAGAGGAGAAGGCACAGGTACTTTTGAGCGGACTGGCAAATTCATCCCGTCCTTTGGTATGGGCTATGCACCCACAAAAGTTTAAGGTCATGCTCGTAGACATTCAGTCAATGAACACACCACTTACAATTCAGGGAGAGGCAATCGAACTTGTGGAGTGTTTTATGTATCTATGAAGTTGTATTAGTCCCGACTTCAGTGGGACAGATGACGTCAATGCATGAGTCTTCAAGGCTCGGACCGTGTTTGCTGATTGCAGGCACCCATGGCGTCAGAGTGGCATATCTCTAAATCCCAAAGGGTGTGAGTATCAAGCCACAGTACGGTCTAAGTTGTTGTATGGCTGTGGGACTCCACTTGTTCGAGTAGTGGAACTGAGAAGTCTTCAGACCTTTGGCAAACACTGTCTCAGAACCACAGGTCGTGTAGGCTGGAGCCCGTGAATCGGCAACGAGACCATTAAGAAATGAGCGTTCGGTTGTGCAACAAAGATAATCGAAGACCATGTTCAGCACAAAAAACTGCGGTGGTTTGACCATGTATTGCGAGGAGGTACTGCCTAAGAAAGTGCTGCTTTCCGTCCCCAATTCAAGGGGGCGGAAGCAGATAGGACATCCCCTGACCCAACAGAGGGGTATGAGAGAAGTTACGAAGTCTGGACAATGTTGGTGCTACTGCCCCCCAAGATGCAAACCGCAGGATTCGCACTGCGCCTGGTTGGAGATGCCGCCTGATGGGGCTGTTAATGGATTTCAATGGCATTTTTGTCGTCTAGAATGTCTAGGGGTGTAGGTACCGAGCTAGCAAATTTCTATTCTTCTATTCACAATAAGGCTTTCAAATAAAACTTGGTTGTATGACAGTGAAGTATCAGTGTTGGAAACTGATATTATGCTGCCAATGATGGTGATGACCAGCGCCGTCTTTGAGCACAGAAGGCGAAAGGTTGTCGAAAGCTTGAGTCTCTGTGGTTAAAAGAGACGCAATAGTCACAGTCCACGTTTTTGTCAAAAGTCGACAGTTCGGACTGAATGCAGCGAATGGCCAACTGAACAGTAGTTTGAAGTATTGTGCCCAATGGTGCCAACGTTCCCCTTTATCGGATATCAGACCGACATTTTGGTCCTTGTTGGTTTCGCTAGCATAGGGCTTCTGAGGACCATTTGAACAAATTAAGTGGAAGGAGCTGCGGACTTTCTAAGAATTTTACGCATCTTCTACTTTTTTAGCCTTTCAGATCCACTAAATGTCGCGGTCTGCACGGACAGTCTTACCTGGCATCGCATGATGTGTCAGGTTGAGTTATGGTTGCGGCCAGGGGGAATCTGTCGCCGCTTTTCCAGCAAAGCAACGGTCGAAGGTTTAGATGCGGTTGGCTGGCTGTGGTTGTACTCCAGACAGCAGTTCCAGTCTTGGGTAGCGCTTTGGAAATCTGTCTCCAGTAACCGTTACCGTCCGACACCAGACCATTCGGGAAGCGCTGGAGGAGCTGGTCCTGAGTGGTTTGTTTGGATTCTGGGTCTAAGATCTTCTCAATGGATAAGCAAGGTGGGCACCTTTTGCACACACTTGAAAAGCGCAATGTAAGTAGGCAGCAGGCAGTGATCGACCCTCGCCACCGTTAACTAATTTTAATGTGGCCTATTTGGATTCGGGACTGATTTATTAATGGGCACCATGTGGTCAAGTGATTTCCGCTTCTCCAGAAAGTAGCACTGCAAAGGAATAGTCTGGGAGCCGTACATATCTGAAACAGACTTCGTTCTCCGTACGTCTAGTTTCTAATCTAAGATAACTAATCAACAGGGGTATGAAAGAGATCAAGAAACACTTGAGTGCTGTCGGCGCTAATCGCCTTCCAGAGTGGGGACCGCGTGATCCACATTGCTCCTGGTGGGATACGCTGCATAATGTGGCTGCCAACCGATGTCAGTGGCGATCTTGTTGTCAATTTCTATCCAGACTGTCTGAATGTGTTTGGAGGTGTAGGCACCTCGGAATGATTGTAATATGCTAGCACTAGCTCCCTTCCCCATCCACCTTTATTCTTTCCTTTACAATAAGGATTTCAAATAAATCATGGCTGTACGGTAGCGAAGCATTGATGCTGAACACTGATTCCATGCTATCGATGATGACGATGATGATAATGGTGTACATGGTACCAGCAACCAGAGCGATGTCAGAGCTTTTAATCAGTTGTCAAAGAACACCTAGAACGTCATAGAAATCGTCTACGGCAGACTAAGAGGTATAGTCCGTTGAGTCGTAAGCAGACAATAAACACGGCGCAGTGGACCTTATTTTCTCAAAAGTCCTCCACACACGTTGCCAAACGGACACCGCATCACCAAAGGTGCACAGCCGGAAACAGAAAGAGACCGAAGGGGCAGTCAGTTCGATTACAGAAATGACGTCATAAATCCTTGTCCCTGGCAGACAGCATACACCAATACAAAGGAAATACAGCTTACGAGCAAGAGACGCTCCTCGTATGTCAATGTGTGAACATTAAATGCAGCTAAGTAGACTGGCTGTTAGGGTGTGGAAGCGGACTTCAGGTGTTTAGGGTTGTTGCTGAAGTCAAAACTAGTAGCTGAGCGTGATGCATGGCAAACTAATTGTAAGTCCTAGTGCTGGGATGTGCGAAGGGAGTTCCAGTTGGGGTGGGACAGGGTAGAAGAGAGAATGTAGGAGTCTAAGAAGGAAAGCGTCAGCAGTACCATGTTCTCACTTACCCGTTCGGCTGTACTCATCAAGGCGACCCAGTTGCCGACACCACGCGATGGTCAAAGTGGCGTGAGAATAGGGTTAGTTGTAAGCACCATGGTTGAACGTGGGCTAGGATACTTGCAGGGAGCCCAAAAATAGGCACCATCACGGTCCTTAATCAAAGCCTCTGGCTCAGAAGCTTGACCGCAATGAAGCAGTTGGGTGCCATTGCGAAGACGAGACCTCTCAGTATACATGTATAACAGCAATACACCAGTAATATATATTGGAGAGTAACTGTCATACAACCATGAAGGAAGAAAGTCTCAACAAAGAGCGGGAAAAGGCGAAAGTAGAGTTGGTGCGAAGACCTACTTCTTCACCGAAACTGATCAAAAATGAAGTGCCTACACCTTTGGACAGTATTTAAACAAACACATCCGATAATCATTTTGCATTAA